TATTTTCAGTATAGCTAACAGTGACTTGATTGTTAATGGATATCCATGGTGAACACTTAAAAGTTAAGATGATTTTTTTTTTCATAAGGAGAACAATTCTACCTCAATGTATCTTTCTTAACCTTTTATTTTGAAAAAATTTACATAAAAATTATAAAAAGGATTATACCCTTCATCTAGTTGTTAATTTTTCTGAGTTATCTGAGATTAAGTTGCAGATGTGATGCCCCACTAATCCTTTTATATTTCAATGCGTACTTCTTAAAAACAAGGACACTCATATAAGTACAGTACAAAATAAACATCAGGAAAATAGTATTGATCCAATTTAATCTACCTAATCCACAGACTCCATTGAAAGTTCAATGATTAGGTCATTAATGTCATGAGGTTATTAATGTCCTCTTGGATCTAATTTAAGGTCACCTGTGGCATTTAGTTGTCATGTGTCCTTAGTCTCTTTCAGTATGGAACCATACTGAAATTAATCTTTTCTTGACTTTCATATATCCCTTCAGTCTCCTTCAATCTGGAATAGTCTTAACTTCTGTGGACTTGATATTTTTCAAGAGCACAGGTCAGTTACTTTGAATTTCCCTCAGTTTGGGTTTGTCTGATGTTTCCTTATGACATATATTGATGCACAAGAAGTGATGCTGCATTCTTCTCAGTGCATCGATTCAGGAGCCAAGAGAAGGTTGATTTGCCCCATTACTGGTTTTTATTTATGTGAATTTTTACCAGTTGATTTAGATGGTGTCTCCCAGGTATTACAGCTGTAAAGTTAGTGAGTATGCTACACTTATTAATTAATATGTGATTAATGAATATTTTTAGGGACATACTTTGAGACAATATAAATATCCTGTTCCTTATCAAACTAATCTTTTACTCACTAATTTTAGCATCCATTGATGATTCTGGCCTGAATTAATTATTACAGAGGCGGTTGCCAAATTGTGATTTTCTAATTCTATCTCTCCTTCTTCATCTATTAGTTATATTCTAGTGTAAAGTGGAGCTTTCCCTTTTCTTCTCTTTCTCTCAGCATGGATTCCTATTTTACTCAAAGGGTTATCATCTGCAATTTATTTTCATAGTGAAATTGTCCTCAGTATGGCCAATAGGAACCCTTCAAGCTGGCTCCTGTCTTCTGTTGTCATGTCTCCACAGTTCTTTGAACATCTTATTTTCATGCCTAACAAATTATTCCAGGCTCATTCATGTACACCAAGGAGCCATGTATCCTTTTAGTAGAGAATGGTATTTAGAAACCAAGATCTGAGTGCTAGGTGTGTTCATTACTATTGGGGTGTCATTGCTTTCAGGCTGCCTCAGTAAGCAGAGCGAGCAGATATATCAGTGTATACACAAGAACATACACACATACTTATTTTTGTCTATCTATTTATCTATCTACCTAAATTAAAACCATGAATTTATACCAACACCTCCAATTTCAAGCCACATCATTAGGTTCACTTTAGTCTTTTCCCTTTCTATATTTGTAACTCCCTTCTCTAACAGTGAGAAACTCTTTATCCTTAATGCATTTTACTTGCTTGCTCAATTACTCAGTATGTAAACCAATCTCTTGGCCATGCCAGCAGAAAGTGTGGCCTGTATCTATTAAGTTGATCACTTTTATCATTTCGTTCATACATATATCACATAACACACATATATGTATACATTATAGATATGAAATCAGACATTATATATATGATATATATATGAATATATGTACCTAAGAAATAGCATATAATACATGAAATATATAAATACATATGTATATATGTATCTAATTTTGTATCCTGTTGCTGCGGAGTTGATTCTGACTCATAGTGCCCTAAAGGACAGCGTAGAACTGCCCCATAGGGTTTCCAGGGAGCAGTTGGTGGATTCGAACTGCCAACCCTTTGATTAGTAGCCATAGCTTGGTGGATTCGAACTGCCAATCCTTTGGTTAGCAGCCATAACTCTTAATCACTGTGCCACCAGGGCAACAGACCTCTTTAAAGTGTTGAAAAGCAAAGATGTCACCTTGAAGACTAAGGCGCCTGACTCAAGTCATGGTGTTTTCAATCACCTTATATGTGTATGAAAGCTGGACGATGAAGTAGGAAGATTGAAGAAGAATTGATGCCTTTGAATTGTAGTGTTGGTGGAGAATATTGACTATTCCATGGACTACCAAAAGAACGAACAAATCTGTCTTGGAAGAAGTACAACCAGAATGCTCCTTAGAAGCAAGGATGGTGAGACTATGTTTCACATACTTTGGATATGTTATAAGCAGGGATCAGTCCCTGGAGAAGGACATCATGCTTGGTAAAGTAGAGGGTCAGCAAAAAAGAGGAAGGGCCTCAATGAGATTGATTGACATGGTGGCTGCAACAATGGGCTCAAGCATAACAACATTGTGAGGATGGCGCACGATGGGGCAGTGTTTCATTCTGTTGTGCATAGGGACGTTATGAGTCGGAACTGACTTGACAGCACCTAACAACAACAATTTCATATACTGTATATGAGTGTTTGTATTTTTTTAAGGGAAGTACACAGTGACGTTTTTCTTCAGACGAAGATGTAAATGTCTTCCACTGGGTTGTCCCCTCATGTTCTGCCTGACCCTCAGAAATGCAGAGCTCTACAAAGAGGAAATACCCTCAGTCCCCTAATTACCTCTTCTCTCTTGGTAAGCAGCCTGTATGCTAAGGGTTACAAGCATCTTCAGCCAGCTCCGCAACCATACTTAAACTAAATGCTGAATGTGGTGAAGAAAAGATTTTACATTTCAACTTTAATAAATAAATATCTGGAGCATGCATTGAAATTACATTTTATGCCCTATGTTGGGTGTGGCTCCTCCAGGTTACTAGTCTTCCTCCAGGTTTTGGTGGCACCCAGCAGTGGACTTAGTACACAGTAATACACTTATCTGCTTATGTACTGGCCCCATTGGACTGAGAAGGTGGACAACAGGGACTGCTTCTTTTGTCTATTTCTAGTACTTAGTTGAGGGGATAATACAGGCAGGTGCTAATTACTGTTTACTGGATGAATGGATGAATGGATGAATAAATGAATCAATCAATCAATATAGAATGGTGGAAAAAGAGATGTCTTTTGGGCAGGGGCAGATTATCCAAGAGGCAAGGTAAGCATGGCCCTTACCTATTTTACTAGATCATCTGTAGTGAAGAATTTTACATTTTTTCACCACATCAAAAATTCTGCTTCTAGGTGTGGCTGGCATCTGTTTCTCGCCTAACCCCACAGCACCTTCTTACAGAATCAAAGCCTCTTTTCAAATTTACAATTCATTGACAGGGGCAGATGAAACCCGTGTGAAATTTTTCACTGTAGATTAGTAAGTAAGCACAAGTAAGCCCATGCTTACCTTGCTTATTGGGTAATCCAGCCCTGAGGGTGGGGTGCCTTAAATGTCAACCTCTGGATCCACATGGATGAATAGAGTTCAGGTCATCCATCCTTAAAAGCATTTACGTATTTTATTTCAAGTTTTTTTTTTCCCTCCCCCCAGTGACATAATACAACTGAGGAATAAATCTTTAACATTGATGTTGCACACAAATTCCATGCTAACCATGCAGTACCAACAATCTTGTCATATTTCCACCTGCAGCTTCTTGAATCTTTAGGCATCAAATTTCAAAACTCTTACATTAAAGAAAACCATCAACTCAAATTACCCTTTCTCATTTTCTATTTTCGGCATTTTCTTCTTCTTCCCCCAAGAATATCTGCATTTTAATTTTTCTCGAAAGTTTCTTTGCAGTGTTCCAAACAAGAATAATCATAAAACACTGCAAATTCCGCGTGTGGTGTAAATATTTAATAAATAAAAATGACGAGATTGGTAACAATATCGCTGACGATCGCGGTGGCCCGTTTTAATTTAGAGGGCGCCAGCTACACGTCAGTGAGGGATTCAAAAACTACAGGCAAACCACCGCGGGCCAGGAATCCCTAGGACAACCTTGACGCCACTAAAGTTTCCGGACGGGGCCAGCCCTCGGAATTGACGGAAGGAGCCTCCACGTAGTTGAACCAGTCTCCCAGTTTCCTCGGCCGCAGCTAAAGCGCCAGGAATTTCCAGGTTTTCTCTTCCTCGGGTAAATCACATCTGCACCTTACGCCGCGCTGGGAACAGGTGAGCCCGGCGGCGGCGCCCTTGGGTCGCGGTCAGGTGCCTCGGCCCCGCCC